AAGGAGTAGAAGAAGAAGATATGGAAGATGGAGAGATCGTCCAAGCCTTTGGAGATGCTGCCCCCCCCCGCTCCTGCATGTTTACCTGCATTGTCGATCACAGGATCTTGGACTGCTATCGACACTAGTGAGATGAATCTCGACGTCAAGATTCAAGACGAAGAGGTTGCAGCTGCTTTCCTCGCCAATCTCTACGCTGATGTTAAGCTCTGATTTCGTTCTCGTGGTGTTCAAGTTTTCACCTTCGAGTAGTAGTCAGTAAGTTTTGCAGTGGAGCTTGAACTAGTTATTTTCATTTCTCATCATTCCTTTCCTTATCGCATTCATCGATTTCCTTTTACATGCAATCGTATAGTTATAGGTTAGTAGCAACTGTTTTAGTCTGATGTGTGAGCCGCTCAGCCCCCCTCACAGAGATCATTTCACCGAGTTGGACAAGTCTTCGGTCACCGCTTGGACCATTTGCAAGCGTCGTTCAGTTTTCTTGTTCCGCAAGTAGTAGTACAACAATTCTTCACATGAAAGAACAACAATTCTCCACATGAAATATTAGAGGCAGGTTCGCAAGCGGTTTCTTCGTACCCAGCCCATTTGACTTTGAATTCTAGCGTCTGTCAATACTAGTCGACATTGGTGTTCTGTCATCCAGGATTGCTTCCACGTCATATTCGCCTGCAACTTAGACAGGCTCCTAGCTATCTTCGGGCAACAATTCCTCATCGAAGTCGAGAAGTGTGCCTTTGTGACATCTCGTGCAAGCTGAGTCTTCGGACGATTGTCAAACCCGTTTACAGCTTTTAATCTCGACACATGGAACACTGGATAGAAGCGATACCCATTCCTATCGGGAACTTCCAACTCGTACGCAACGTTCTCGACCTATTGTTTCACCTTGAAAGGTTCACCCCATCGGTGAGCTAGTTGCTTCACTAGTCATGGCTTCACGCGCACCATGCACAACCATACTCGACTTCCGGGTTTAAATAATGGTCGAGGGGCTATTGGGGTTCTTTCCATACCATCTCTCTCAGCATTCGGGATAACCACTCTTTCTTTACAACCTCATTTGCTGTTGTGCTCATACGCTCTTATCGCCTTCTATTTCGAGTGCTATTTGTTGGTGGTGATTAACTTCGCGTCGCCAAGCCAATGCCACTGTCTGTCTGTCGAATCCTTGGTTTAGAGAAGTATTCATTGCTCGCAGTGTTGTATGTGCATCCCATAAATGCATCAAGTGGTATGGTGTCTCTGTCTTTGTCGTATCTTGCGAGTTGTTGTTAGCGAATGCAAGTTGTTCAGCAATTTCATCCCAATTTTGTTGTAGGAATTCTTCCACTTTGACCTTCATCGACTGCATTACCGTCTTCACCGATCGTTCCTGTTGTCTGTTCGCTTGCGGACGATAACTCAATGTTGATCGTGTATCAATTCCGTGAGTACTTGAAATACTTCACTCATGAATCGTAGGTCACGGACATGGCGTATTAGCGGTGGAGCCTCGAAACATCGGTAGACGCATTCTTCGAACAATTTCGCAACTGTTATTACATATGTGTTGGACACGGCGTTGGCTATCACAAACCCTGTAAATAAGCACTGCCACAGCAGCAATGCGGTATTTCGGTGTCGAGATCTCAACAGTGATATCACACAGTCCATAGATACCAATTGGAATTCCCGTTCAGCTAACACGATTCCTGGGGAAAATCCCTTCAATTGAGGTACCTGGCTTGAACCGCAATCCAGGCATGACATCACCTTTTTTCTAAATCACCATACAACCCGATCCAGTAATAGTTCTTCCTCACTCTTTGGTATGACCGCACGACACCTTGATGTCGTCCTTGGATAGAGCCATGGTAGTTTTGCAGTACTCCTTGTCTCATAGTTGACGGTACTATCAGTCTCGATGATAGATAGATCCATTTGGTCATCCTCTAATGTTCGTCGACACTGACCCAAATAATAAAGAAGGAAGTCACTCGAGAGTACAAACTTATCCGACCATTTCCACGCTTTGCGAACTTCTTTGCAAGTCATACTTGATGTTTCATCTTTCAACAATGTCTTAATGACAACCTATATTGGTTCCTTGTCCTGCGCAGGCTCAATTCGTCGGCGTCTTTCTTGTTGAACTTCTAAAGGGTCCTGCATTTGGAGTGTGCGGTATTTCAGGAGCGGGCGGTTGTTCTTCTGGCTGTAATTTGTCTCTTGGTGCCTTAGTAGTTCTAACGTGTCAGATACTAAGCCGATTGGCTTGGAGTGTGCGGTATTTCAGGAGCGGGCGGTTGTTCTTCTGGCTGTAAGTTGTCTCTTGGTGCCTTAGTATTTCTAACGTGTCAGTTACTAAGCCGATTGGCTAGTTTACATCGACATGAACTCGCTTGACTCTCTTATTGTTCTTCGTGGTCTGTTTCCTAGACATTGCTGAGATTTCGGCTCGTATCGGATGAAAGAAATCGGCGACCGTTAATTGATGACGAATTTCTCCATCCATAAGTTGAAGGATACTCGCGAATCCCTCTTGAGCTGTCTGATGCTCGACAGACGAACGCTCGTACATCACTTCTTGGATTCTGTTTATTTCCTTCAATTCCAACTTGCGATGGTCGTTTAGGATCACCATCGATACTTTAGACTCATGTATTTTACCAGTCGGTGAGTCCGCTGTTGCGTTATATTCGCGTACTACATGAAGGTACTTGACTGACTTCAGTTTCATTGTTAACTCCCAGTGGTATTTCAACAATGACAACAATGAATCCTTCCTATGGATTGCCAGCCTCGAGTCACCAACTATAATTAAGTCTTCCGCTTCGGCTTCCGTAGCAGCCGAACTTTTCAGTCTTCACCGATTCATCGAATGACATGACGTAGCCATAGTATTCCCGAGGTAGTCGTGCATAGAGGAAGCTAGGTGACCCGAGGCGGGTGAACGCCTGAACCGCTCAGATGTATAGTACGATGCTCAGAAAGCACCAAAAGGCAAACAACCAAAGGTGTTTGGGGGTCAGAACTCTCCAAAGGTGTGACTCAGATGGACAACTGAACACACTATTGGAGAGCTGGCGTGTGACCTTGTGGAAT